GACATGGGTGAGGCTAGCACGTCTGGCCGAAGTGAGGCATCAGCGTCAAGGCCGTTGACTCCCGAGGAAAGGGAGTGGACCGATAGGAGGGAGAATGAGGGCATAATGAGTGCTGCGCCCTATTCTTGGTGGATCGAAAACCGTGCCCAGTATCGCTTCGCCGAACAAATTGAGATCTTCTATGGCATTTTGGAAGAAGACGGTTACAGGTGCCGAATGCCTAGTGCCAAAGACAGGATTCATCGTCCTCCTCCCGGATATATCGGGGTTTATACTCGGCAGCTGCAGTATGGGCTGCGATTTCCTGCTCACCCCTTCATCATCAAGCTGCTGAATGGGTATAACATATCCCTTTCTCAGCTAACTCCGGTCAGCATCCGAAGGATTATGACCTATCTCTGGGTCTGCTTGTTCTGTGGGTATGAGCCGAGCGTTCATTGTTTTCGCTGTACCCACAGACTCGCGCTGAACACCTAGTCCAATAAATGGCATGGCCGAGGGTGGTGGCAAATTGAGGACGAGAAGGGTTTCCTCTCGACCTATCCGAATGACACCTTGGACAAAGACTAGAGGGGGCAATGGATCTGGGTTAGGGCCCCCTCAGACGAAGAGCATCCGAACTATTTCGGTGGGCCCCGTTATTTAAGGAAGCCCGATCCGAAGATGGCCAGCATTGGCCCTGATGAGTTTACAGAGGCCGATCGCCGTCAGATGGAGTTGTTCGGCCGAATAAAAGTGCCAGGGGCCACTGGCCGAATGGCGAATGTGCCGAAGAAATGGCTGCCTTGCTGCCATTACATCTTCCAAGAGAAGATGCTTGCTGTTGTCGGCCTCAGCCGAAGATACCAAGGCGGTAAGTGATTCGGCTGGGCCCGAGTCTTTTAGTTATATGCTTTTTTTTTTTTTTTTTTTTTTTTGGCTTGTGATTTCTAATTCCTTTGGCTGAACTGACTTCTTTTTCTCTTTTAAGAGCTGTACGAGGAGAACTCAGGCATCAGCTACGAAGTCCTTGGGATTAGTGGGGAGAGGGTTCCACTCACTAACACGCCGAAGATCACTGAATCTAAGGACCGACCTCTCAGCCTCAACCCCAGGAAGCTTCAGGTTGTCAGTGTCCTTGAGTACCAGCGGCAGAAGCCTTGGTACCGGAAAGTCGATCCCTTCTTCCTCCATTCTGCCGAAGAAGCTGCTGTTGCCAGTGCCGCCGTTGCAGCTCCTTAGGACGAGGCATGTCCTTCCACTCCCACTGCTGAGCCGGGAAGGGAAGCATCTGAGGAGGAAGATTCTGAGGACGAGCGCCTCTTAGCAACTTCAGTAAGTTCTAAGTGCATTTTTCATCATCATTATTGTTATTATTATTTTCTTCTTCTTCTTTCTTTCTTTCTTTTTTCTTTTTGCAATTGCTCAAGTTCAAATCTTCGGCATTTTTATTTTACTTATGCTACTCCTTTTCCCCCCCTTTTCTGCTTCCAGTCAGACGAAGAAGAAGAGGAGGAAGTCGCTAACCTCTCCGAAGCTTTCCCCGTCCCAGAATTTTCAGCAGACGAAGGGATGGCTGGCGAGAGGCGAAAGAGGCAGCTGATCCGGCCCGGACAGTTCCGGGCTCCTCTTCTTCCCGAGCAGAGACCTCGGCTGGAGGAGGTCCAGCAAGAGGAAACTCGAGAGGTTATCTCCCCTTCTGCTGATGCTGCAGCCGAGGGGGAAACTGAAAAGAGAGCACCCCTCTTCTCTCCGGGCCATGTGGCCAGTGATTTCTCTGAAGAGGTCTGGAGAGAGGCTGATGCACTGCTCGTCCATGCTGAGGACGAAGTGCTTGCTGAGAGTGCGGGTCAGCCGCAGGTAGTTGAGATAGAGGCCGAAGAAGATGAGGCTAAAAATGTTGATGCGCCGTCTACCTCAGCTGCTGGTTCTTTTAGGACTTTCCAGTCCTCTGAGATGGGGTTCGGCTCAGCTCCCTTAGTCCCCATTCCTAGCCATGCCCGCGCAATCTTCGAGGATAGGCGCGACTCAGCCCTCTCCTACTTCGGCAATTTAAGCAACCTTTCAGCAACTTAAAGGGCGAGGGCTTGGATACTTGGGGCTGCTGCGGGGGCTGCTGATTCCTCAGAGAGCGTGCCCCATCCTCTTCTGGAGAACCAAAGGGTTCTGATGCAGGTACCCCACTTACACTTGCTCTCTTCTTTTTTTTTTTTTTTTTTTTTTAAGTGTTGGACTTCGGCTAATCTACAAGGTACGCTGTTGTTGCTTCCTGCAGGCCGTGCACAATCATTTCCTTGGCGTGGAAATGTTCTACGAGCTGCAGAAGAAGGCGGATAAGGTTGGAGAGGCTCAGGTTCTGACTCGGCTGGCTGAGCTGAAGCAGTTGAAGGCTGAGGAAGAGGCCGCAGCTAAAGAGGAAGAGATGCAGCAGATGGAGGAGACCTTCCGCTCCTTCAGCCGAGGCCTGGAGCAGATAATCTTCCCTTGGATTGAGGAGGGTCATTCTCTCATGAAGGAGTTTGGAGCTGATACCCTCGAAGAGTTCCGGGTTCGGCTTGAGGCCAAGGCCAAGGAAGAGGCTGAAGCCCGGGAGCTCCTCATTTCTTCTCATGAGCAGCAATTGGCTCAGGTTCGGCAAGAGGCTCAAAAGGAAAAAGACGATCTGCTTGCCTTGAACCAGGGCCTGAAGAATGACTTGGAGGCTCAAAAGGCGGAGCTGTTGGATGCCCAAGAGTTGCTCAAAACCCGGATTTACACCGAAGCTAAATATGCCGAAGGTTTTGAGAATGGGTGGAAGATTGCTCGGCGCTTGGCTCTGCATGCTGCCCCTGCCATGGACTGGGACCAGGTTGAGGCTTGGTCATTGGATGCTGACAACCCTCGGATCCATGAGGCCAGCCAGGCTGAGGTTGACTTCCTGGTTCGCCAGGCTGAAGCTGAGGCGAAGGAGGCTGAGGAGGCTGCCAAAGATGTTGGAGCTACTGAACCTGCCTCCTCTTCAGCTGGGGCTGGTCCATCTGGAGCTCCAGGAGATGCTGAAGCATAGGGACTCGGGCAGCCGTCTTCAGAATCCTGCGGATCAACATGCGCTTAACGTGTAAACGCCGCATCAGCTTTTGCCTGTTCTTTTGCTTCAGCTTGCCTTTGTACAAACTTTATACTTGTTTTTGTGTACTTTCGGCGGCTGTGTTTTCCGCTGTGTGGGCGGCTGCCGACTTTGGTTGTTTGTGACTTTAAACTGTTGACATTTTTAGCCTTAATAGAATCTCCATCTGCTTTTCTAGCCTTGCACTTTTTATCTGAAATTTTTGCAAAATTTTTCTAAGTATAGGACTTCGGCTTGCACTCCATGCTTGGATGAGGATCAGTGCAGTTGCCAAATGTGCGCTGCACCCCCCCAGAACTCTGAAGACCGCGTCTTCTGAGTTCTGAGATTGTTGGCTTAGTAACCTCAGCACAGCCGAAGTTCTTTTTTCTTTGCGTCTACTTTATTTTTCCAAAAGCTCTTATTCCTTGCTCAAGAGTGTTGGACTCTGAGGGCAATACTTTTGAGATACTTTGAATTCATTCGAGGGAACGGCTATCCGAATCACCGGACCAAGGCAGTAATCTATCCGAAGTACAAGGCATCACTATGCAATACTTCGAAAATGCAATTACCACCCGGAACTGATTCATCCGGAGTACAAGGCATCACTATGCAATACTCCGGGGTTTTATCAGTTCCTAGTTTTTAGGCTATGCTTCGGATGCGCCTATGGCCTCTTTGCCCAGAGGAACATATTCTTCTGAAGTGCGAGGCACCACTTATGCAACACTTCGGGCTTTTATCTTTTATCCTCCTTTTGACAAGTTTTACGACTTGTCGAAGTACAATGCATCACAATGCAATACTCCGGGCAGCGCCGAACAAAAACCTTGAATTATTGCGGAAACCGTAGACAAAATAAATATGTAAATGCATTTGAGTTGGGCTGAATGGTGGCTCAAAGGCCTTTTTCATTAATAATCGTTGATGTACTTACATAGATTGTTCCTCCCTTAGGATATTACACATGGAATTTCTTGAGTACATCAGCGTTTCAGTGATTTTTCAGCTCAGTGCCATCCAACTGCCGAAGTCGGTATGTGCCTAGCTGAAGCTCATCAAAAATTTCATAGGGTCCCTCCCAAGTTGCCGAGAGTTTCCCATGGATCCGGCCTTTCTGTACAGCAGCAGCATTCCGAAGGACCAAGTCACCGACTTTAAGGGGTCTTTGGCGGACTTTTCGGTTGTAAGATTTGCTGATCCTATGCTTGTATTCAGCCATCCTATCTCGAGCTGAATCCCTAACCTCATCAAGGAAATCAAGGGATTCTTTCATGAGTTTTTCATTACCCTCGGCCGAGAAGAGACTGACCCTTAAACTTTCTGAGCCGATTTCCACCGGGAGCACGGCTTCGGATCCATATACCAATTCGAATGGTGAATGTCCCGTTTCCTCTTTTTCGGTTGTCCGAAGTGACCAGAGGACTCCAGGAAGTTCCTCTATCCACTTGTACTTTTGGTCTTCCACTCTCTTCTTGAGAGCGTTGAGGATCTGCTTATTCGCGGCTTCGGCTTGTCCGTTACTCTGTGGATGACAAACCGGAGAATATGCCAGCTTAATGCCGAACTGATCTGTATACCTCTTTAATGGCAGGTTGTCGAATTGCCTTCCATGATCGAAGACAAAGACCTTCGGTATTCCGAAGCGAGTAATAATGTTTTGCCAAATGAACTTTCGGACCGTTTGTTCCGTAATGTTCGAAGCTGCCTCGGCTTCGATCCACTTGCTGAAGTAGTCTACACCAACTATCAACCATTTTTTCTGGTAAGGAGCCTCAGGAAAAGGTCCCAATATATCCAATCCCCATTGAGAAAACGGGAGGGGATTCAAGATTGGCTGAAGATCTCTGGATGGCCGATGGATGACCGGTGCAAACTTCTGGCATTTCTCACATGTTCGGACCATGTTTTTCGCTTCCAAAACCATAGTTGGCTAGAAGTATCCAGCCCTTAATGCTTTATGGGCTAATGTTCTTCCCCCTATGTGATTCCCACAGATGCCGAGGTGAATTTCCCGAAGGATGTAATCTGCGTCTGTTGGGCCCACGCATTTTAACAGCGGGGAGGAAAAGGACTTTCTGAGGAGCTTATCCCTGAAGACTACGAATCTCGAGCTGATTCTTTTTATTTTAGAGGCCAACTTTCTATCTTCAGGGAGTTCTTCTCGGATCTTGTAAGCCAAGATAGGGTCCATCCAGCTAGTCTCGTGCATAGCGCAGTCTAAGTTCATCACCTCGGCCACACTTTTTTCTCTGCGCACGTCCACGTATACAGATTTGCTCAGTTCGGTTAGAGTTGAACTTGCGAGTTTGGAGAGTGCATCGGCTTGTGCATTCTGGCCCCTTGGGATCAACTCTATTTCACAAGATCTCAGCTTCGCAATAACTGTTTTGATCTTTGCGAGGTATGCTACCATTGAAGGCTCTTTGGCTTCATACTCTCTTATGATCTGATTTGCAACAAGCTGAGAGTCTGTTTTTAGCCAGACATGCTCGGCTTCCAAGGAAATGCACAATTCTAAGCCGGCGATTGCCGCTTCATATTCAGCCTCATTATTCGAGGCTTTGAACGAAAATTTTAGTGCATATTCGAAGGTCTTGCCTTCGGGAGAGGTTATGACGACCCCTACCCCTGAGCCATTCACGGTGGAGGAGCCATCCGTGAATGCGGTCCAAATCTTCTTTTTCTCGTCAAGTGTCTCCTGATAAGAGCACTCGGCTAGAAAATCTGCTAAGGCTTGCGTCTTGATGGCTGCCCTCGGCTGGTAGCCGATACTGAATTCGGTAAGCTCGAAAGCCCACTTCGTTAGTCGACCTGATTTTTCTACCTTGCAGAGGACCTTTTCCAGCGGCTGATCAGTTAAGACTGCTATTTGATGGGAATCAAAATACGGCCTCAGCTTCCGAGCAGCTACCACTACTGCATATGCGACTTTTTCGAGCAGGGGGTAGCGTGTTTCGGCATCAGTCAGAGTGTGACTAATGAAATAGATCAGTTGCTGAATCTTTTCTTCTTCCCTTAGCAACACCGCACTTACTGTGGCTGGACTAACCGCCACGTATAGGTATAAGACTTCTCCATCAGCTGGTCTTGCCAGTGTTGGGAGTTGAGCTAGGTGCTCGCGGAGTTGCTGAAAGGCTTGCTTTTGCTCGTCCCCCCAAATAAGATCTTTTGATTTCGGGAGTTTGAGCGCTTGAAAGAAAGGCAGTCCTTTGTCCGAGGCCTTAGAGATAAACCTGGATAAGGCGGCCATTCTTCCGGTCAGGCGCTGAACGTCCCTCTTTGTTTTCGGCTCGGGGAGATCCAGAGCTGCTTGCACTTTAGCGGGATTGGCATCAATCCCCCTCTTACTGACCATGAAGCCGAGGAATTTACCCGACTTCACGCCGAAGACGCACTTCTTCGGATTCAACTTCATTTGATGCTTGCGAAGGGTGGCGAAGGTTTCGGCAAGGTCCGTAACATGGTTCTTCTCCTCTTTACTTTTGACGATAGAGTCGTCAACATAGACTTCCATGTTGCGGCCTTTTTGCTCAGCGAACACCTGATCAACCAGCCTTTGATATGTTGCCCCAGCATTTTTCAATCCGAAGGGCATCATTTTGTAATTATACACCCTGGAGCTCGTAACGAAGGCTGTCTTCGCTCGGTCATCGGGGTGCATGAAGATCTGATGGTATCCAGAGAATGCGTCCATGAAGCTGAGCAGGGCATGACCACTTGTCGAGTCGACTAGCTGATCGATCCTCGGCAGGGGATATAAGTCCTTTGGGCATGCCTTATTCAGATCCGTGAAATCAACACACATTCTCCAGCTGCCATTGGCCTTCTGGACCATCACCACATTGGCCAACCATTCCGGATATTGGCAAGGTTCAATGAACCTAGCATCCAGCAGTTTTTTGACCTCGGCTGCGATGACATGGTTCTTTTGCGCGGAATAGTTCCGCTTTTTCTGCTTAATGGGTCGGCATGCTGGGTCGACATTAAGCTTGTGAGAGATGAGGGCTGGGGCAATCCCGGGCATTTCTGTTGCCGAGAATGCGAACACATCTTTATTGGCCCGAAGGAGCATAATTAGATCAGCACGAACGTTTGGTTCTAGCCCAAGTCCGATGCTGACGCATCTTTCAGGGTCTCCTTCGGCCAGCTCTATTGATTCTGTCTGATTGTCCAGTTCCACATCCTTGGCACTGGACTCTTCGGACTCCGGCCTGCTGTCAATGTCAGCAGGCTTCCCAGACCTTGGCTGCTCTTCCGAGTCTTTCGGCTCAGATGGAGAACTAACCTTTTCATCCCCTGAAGATTTTTCTTTTGCTGGGGGCTCATGGGCCGAAGCGCTTAACCCTTTAAGTTTTTTCGCGCTACGGTCCTTTTCTTTCTCCTCCTCATCGTCCCGGTCGCTGCGGCGACTCTTGGACGGTTTGAGGTGGTTACATCTTCGGGCCTCCTTTTGGTCGCCCTTTACTTTTTCGGAGTGTCCCTCGTCCGAAACATATATCATCGTCTGATGGTACGTTGAGACAACTCCTTGGATGTCGTGGATGAGGGGTCTCCCCATGATCACGTTGTACACAGAGGGAGCATCTACGACTAGGAATTCTGCCATGGTGCTCCGCACTGCTCGACCTTTGCCGATGGTGACGGGAAGCCGAATCTTCCCATCTGGGTATGATGAAGAGCCGTTAAATCCCGATATCGGGTATGTCACCGGCGTCAAATGCTTGGCTTCCATCTTCAGCTGGTCGAATGCTCCTCAGAAGAGGATATTCGCCCCGCTTCCGCCGTCGACGAGAGTCCGCCAGACGTTGCGGTTTGCGATGCCCATCACTATTACCAGTGGGTCATCATGGGGGTATGCCACCCCCTCGCAGTCTTCGGCTGTGAACAGGATGTTCGGCACCGGAGACTGAGGTACTTGAAGCTCGGCATGATTTACTTGGTGGGTTAGACCCCTCAACTGGCGCTTGGCCGCACTTCGGGAGGTTCCCCCGGAGATGACAAGAATGTCAAGGGAATTCTTGTCTTGTTGTTGCTTGTCCTTTTTCCGGGGAAAGTCCATATTTTGCCGAGGATCTCTCTCGGCTTTTTCTTCCTCGCGGTGACCCGCAAGGTATTTTCTCAAATTCCCCTTTCGAACCAAATCTTCAATTTGGTCCTTTAGCTGCAGGCAATCTTCGGTGCGATGTCCAGTAGACTCATGGAACTCGCACCATCGATTCTTGCCCTTTTGCTGATGCCATGGCGGGAGTTGCCGGGGCTTCTTGAATCTCCCCTCGTCCTTCGTCGTGCTGAAGATTTTTGCAAGAGGGAGGGTGAGAGGAGTGTACGAGTTGTACTTCCCCGAATAGGGGACGTATTTTTCCTTCTTTGGCTCGGCAGCCGAGGATGGTTCTGAGGCCTTGGCCTTCCCTTTCCTCGGTGCCGAAATTTCGGATAATTGTCCCTTCGGCTTGCCAGCCCCTGAACGGGGCTGAGACCTTGCCTTGTTCCACTCTTCGGCTCGGATGAATTTGTCCGAGGCTTCCAGAGCTTCCTCCAAGGTCTGCGGAGTATGCATGACCATGAAGTCAAGAAACTTTCCTACCTGGAGGCCATTCCGTAGTGCGAACACGGCAAGGCTTTGATCCAGACTCGTAATTCTGGATGACTCGTTGCTGAAGCGAGTCAAGTATTCGCGGAGGCTCTCGTCCTCGGCTTGCTGCAAACCCATGAGCTCTGCAGTCGTTTTCTCGCGGCGATTTGCCGTGGAAAACTTGCTCTTGAATTTGCTGGAAAGGTCGTCCCAACCGGTGATAGAGCCTTCCTTAATCCCTTTGGTGATCCACGATTGTGCAACACCTTTGAGGGTCGTTGGGAAGTATTTGCACCAAGTAGCCTCGGACCTTGGATTGAGGTACATGTGCCCCTCGTAGGAGGCAATATGATCTTTTGGGTCCGAGGTACCGTCATAGGTAATGTGCGCCGGTATTTTTACCGTCGGCACATGCTCTTCCAGTATCCAGCTCTGGAAGGGCGAGCTCGTCGGGACCATAACAACCTTCCCTTTGTGCTCGGCCGATGGGACCTCGCTTCTCCCTCTTAAAGAGGTGGAAGTGGTTTTCGTCCCAGGCCGAGGCGATTCCAGATACGCTCCAGGCTTGGTATCTTCCGGGAAGGTGAGACGACTATGTACGTCCACCTCCCTGGGGCCTAAGCGTTCGAGAACGCTTCGGCGAGCTGCCTCCGGGATTTCGGAAGTAGTATTACTGCTCCGGAAAATCATTGAGTTCTCGGCTCCGGAGTGGTCGAAGAATTGTGGATTCTTCTTCCTCTCCTTGCTGGAGTTCCAGGTGTCTTCCCGCCACCTTTGCCCAAGCTCCTTATAAGGCGGAGCCGGTCCATCCCTCTCTTCACCGATCCTCCTTCTTAGGTTTCTCGGCGGAAGAGAGGAAGATTCAGGTGGAGTCGGCTGGAGTGGAGCTCCTTGGGCTTTTAGGAACTCCATGCAGACTGCCACGGCCCTGGCCACTTCCTCCGTAGAGGGCCCCGAAGGAGGGGTGTCTTTCTGCCGGACCCGTGAGAGCTCACTGCTGCGGCGTAGAATGCTCCTCGCATTTGACTCGCTTCGCCTCGGCGAGGGCTCTTGTTGCAGAGTGTGGCGCGAGGGAGGATTTATTGAAGCCTCCCTCTCTTGAGAACTGGGGGCCCTGGACGATGGAGTGGAGGGGGATGAAGGTTCCGGTTCGGGAGACATTGGGCGAGGCTCCCTCATCGTGATCATCTCCCTCTCCCTCCTCGAGGAGGTAGCACCACCTCTCTTCTTAGCACTTTTCATGCTTTTCCCACTTTTCGTCATGTGGAACTAAGGTGACGTACGTTTGGCGTGATTTTTTGTATCTTCCCCACAGACGGCGCCAAATTGTTTCGGTACGAAAACAATGGGGCCTTCGGCAGGCCCAGAATGGGTGAAGAAGACGAATCTCGGTCCGAGTAATGCTGGAGCCGAGGGTTTCCTGCACAGCACAAAACACGTAAACTGGCCTCGGGGGTTGTGCCGAGGAAGGCCCCTCCGATGCCGAAGTCAATACAGTGTATATAGTCACAGGAAGAGAGCTGTGTAAGATAATTAATGCTTGAGGCTTCTTGTGTATGAATGTAATTGTGTGTAAATGAAAGCTTTTATACCTTTGTCCATTGACTTGATTGGGCTTGACCAGCCAAATGGGCTGCCACTTGACTGGGCCTGCTATTGTTGACTTGGCTAATTGCATGGAGGGTTGAACCTTGAGGACTGGACTTGGACTATTTTCATTTATGGGCTGGGCCCAATTGTTGGTATTTTAGACCCCAAACAGTAATGAATTTTCATTCTATTGCTTTAAAAATACCTATTTTAGGAGGCGTGCCCAGTTTCTAACATTAGCACTTTTGTAAATATATTGCATTAAAAATTGTATTGCTGAATTTAAAATAATATTTTTACTGTTTGTGCAAATGTGTTGCCACCTGCAGTTAACGGCGTTAGAAGACCAAGCTATTCATCTTCTTCCTCCTATCCGCCGTATTGTGTAAAACGTATTCACTGTGAGTCTGTCCACACACTCCCCTACACTAATCAACTAAGTTTCTGAGTAGTTTGGCATGATAATAGTAAATACCCCATTATTAAGAGCATTTTTATGAGATATGAACCATTAAATCCAGCACCTCCAGTAGTAACACAATTTTTGCAGTATCTATTGCTTTCCTCCATTTGCATTCGTACCTAATTACGTAGTACTAGCTACTCTATTAATTCCTATTTAGGTGGGTGAGGTGCTATATATACATGGTGGTTTATGTTTTTGGGCGGAAGTGGAAGTGGGACAGAGGAGTGAGAAAAGAAATGGTGGAAAACTATCTATTAGTTATTTTGTTGCGTCTCTAAAGGAGTTTTGATTAGAATGTTAAAAATCTACGTATAACATTGTCAAAATCTGATATTAGACTATTGAAATATGATGTAACTGAAGTCAAAATTTGATAAAATAAATGTCGAAAAAATGATATTAACTGTCAAAATCGGATGTAAATGAGTTAAAATCTGATATATGTAGGTAAAATCTATTTCTAAAATGTGAAAAATAAATGTAAAAAAATAATATTAAAATCGATTCATATATATATGTCATTTAGTTATTTATTTTGTAAATTTAAAACTAAAGTTGGACAATGTTTTTGCACACTTAAGTTTGCTACAATTGGGATGTGTATAGTGCATGTATATCAATG